CCTGACTATGAGAAATTCCTTTCAGAAGGTCGGTTGATTTTAAATCACCAAGTCTGATTGATAGATATGGATAAACTTACATTCGGAAAGCATGCAAGGATAAGACTATAACATATTAAAAATACATATTGAATCAAGTCGGATTACATGGTCTAACTTTCTTATATCTCATCCTGCAGCATTTTGATTGTCCGATTCTGGACTGTAACATGTACATACTCGCTAAACACAACCTACCCTCAATCACAACCCCCAGAAAGCACCACTACATTTTAAGAACCCTGGCTAAGCCTCACACTAAGCAGTTACAAAAAGGATGAGTACACTGCTCATAATGAATTCATTACGGCAGCCACTGGACATCATGGTAGATCCAACCATTATCGTTTGCAAAAATTTACATTATAGCGAAGCATATTCTCAATACTAAGAATGATGATGAACCAACAGATAACTCTTATGTTGATATGTGCTACTAAATGTGGTGATCTACTGGGTCTGACTCTTAAAATGCAAGCATACTTTCATAAGCAATGGCAATAGGCTGAAGGAAGGAATACATTGCATGTAGGAAAATAACCAGGAAGAAAAAGAAGGAAGCATAAACTAAATGGAATTCCACAGTTTACTTTAAACAGAAGGCGTGCATGGAACTCTAACTGGTATGTATTTTGTCTTGGAAACTGACAAAGCGTAGCAAACGAAAATGTAAAACGAAAACCAAAAGATAACCTTCCCAAATGAATCAACAAATATGATTGTTCAACACAGATTTAACTCTGTAGAAGCCAGCCACCAAAGACTGCAAAAAAAGCACACAAAAACACAGGACAACATAAGTTATCTATAAACTGCAACAGTCTGAAGAGTGCTCAACTCTATGAATTTTGAGCTTCTCCGTTGAACTCATAACTACTGCGCCTTGTTCTTGTTCGCCATCCAAGGGTCTATCATGTGTTCATCTGTGGCTTGTTCTTCTGTGGCGTCCTGATTCTCCTCCTCGACCATCTAACCAATCACTGGTGGATAAGCCCATAATCAAACAACTGAGAAAAGCTATAAAAAAAAGTTGGCACTTGGCACAATCTAGTAAAGGAATTGTCTGAAAATGCATCTTAGTTCCAATAGGGTTAGAAAATCATCAGCAGGCCTACATATATCGAAACCTTACCTTTAAATGGACCTTAGCATTTTAAAGAGCAGATGCAGTTGCAGATGCAGCAACACCAAGAACATGGATCGAACTTGTATAAACAATCACTTCATCATTGTTGACATCAGGAGCCTGGCTGTTCACATTCGAGCCTGGCCCGGGCTTCACATATTGTTCTGATTCGATTGAGTTAGCAACATCGAGAATATAACTGAAATCATACTGCATGGTACCAACATTTGTTGGCAAGTTAGAAGATTCTTGGCCAGTAAGGAGAGTCCCAGGAGGCACAGTGCTTGGAGGTGATTATAGGATGCTACTTGCTCGAGTGGGTTAACCACAACAGGAGGTGTTTTAGCATATGTAGTTGAAACAGGATCATAATAAAGCGATGTGTGTTGGATTGCAACCTGACTTCCATCAACATGCACATAGAAACTACCACTTGACAAAGTAGATGCACACCCATAATATTGGACATTCGAATCCATATAAGGATAGCCGTAGTGGAGGCTCGTTAGGAGGCAGTGGAGGAACTTGTTCGTCAACGATGGATAATCCACCTTCTGTGATTGATGATCTCATTGAGAAAACTACACTTCTGGTTCTTCAGCCAAACAACCTTCGGAGATGACATGGAGAGAAAGAGACAAAAAAGGTGCAGATTAAAATCAGAATCAACCTGGGCAAAAATGAATTGAATCACCAAACACAGAAAAATAAAAGAGTTACCTATATACATTTCCTACTCTGCAGCAAACTACACTGCTAATGTCGCCGGAAAGGGCCAGAACTACCGACTTCTTCTACCTCTTCCCTTTCCTGAAATCAAATAAAAACAAAACATACCAGAACAATATCAAAGAAAGGCAACACGCAGACTATTAACGGAACCAAAACACAAAAAGAAGCAGCTTACCCAGAGAGTAGTAGCCAGCCCTCGTCGCCTCTATTGCCTTCGAAAATCTGCACCAACGACAAACCCTCCGTCATCCTGCCCCTTGTCCGAAGAAGAAAACCAAAAGGAATAAGTTTGATCAAATTAGCAGGAACCAATAAATAAAAAATCCTAACATACCAAAAGCGAGAAGAAAAAAAGGAACTTACCTTGAACGCCGTGGATAGCTATTCCACCATTGACGGATGATCATGTTTCCTCTGCCATGAGAATCTTTGAAAGATCTCACGTCGGTCGGCGATCTCACTTCCTTCCCATGTGTTTTCTCCTTCCCTCTTCCTGATTGATCAACCTGAAAATGTAAAATAAGAAGTAACCAGAATTAATGCCAGTCCAAAAATCCTAAAAATGTAATATGCAAAAAGAAAACAACCCTTATCTATGTCACCAAACGAAATGATCTGAATCCATAATCAAGCAACTCATCTTATCATACCTAAGATCAAACGTGAGTAAGTACGAAAGTGGAGTTCGGAGCTGGGTCCTCGTCGATTGAGATGGCGGAGGTGGAGAAGCTCGGCGAGCCACCCCATAAACAAACCTAAAACTCGTCGAGTCTCCCCTGTTCCTCTGTCACGATTGGCCCTGTCTATGTTGGAGTAGAAGACAGGAGCCACCTTTGGTAGCTCTCCGATTCGCCGCCAACCCATCTCAGCAACGAACCATTCCCGGTGGACGCAAACCCTAGCAACAACTGTTGGAGAAGAAGATCAATAAAGAGAGGCAGATTTGGATAGAGATGCTTCTTGCGGATGAGAGAATAAAGAGAAGAGGGAAAGCTAGATATTTTCTGTGGCTGGGAAGTGGAGTGAAGAAAAGCAGCGAAGAGAAAGGACAGAGATTAGAAAGGTAGAAAGTCTATGTGTGTCAGATGGGTAATTGTATTAGGCTCACAAACAATTCCAAGTATGCATAGAAAGTCCTCAAAGGTTTGGTTTGTTACGAAAAAACACCCCTTATGACTCAACGAAATAGCAAACCAATTGCAAACTATGAACAAAATTCGTCAATATTATTTTCACATTCCTTTGACCTAGTCGAATTAGATTGAATACACAAATTCACACCCGACCCGACAAATACAAAAGCGGTTAAAACTCGTTCTCGAGTCAAAACTCGTAAACACCGAGTGCAAACTGCATTTTCTTTAGTTGTAGTTAGACGGAAGAGATCTAAGTTTCTAACAAAATCCGCACCTGACCTAACCCATCAATTGCAAAAGTGAGCAAAATTTGTCCCCGACCCAAAATTCATTAACACTGGATTCAACTCGCTTTGACCAGTATGATAAAGTGGGGCAACTCTAACAAAATTCACACCCGACCAAATTCGTCAATTACAAAAGTGGGATATATGGTTTCAATTCACTTTGATCGGTTCCAATTAGGTTGAATACCCAAATGCACACCCGACCCACCAATTACAAAAGGATTCAACTTGCATTCTTTTATCTTCTGTCGGATGGAAAATGGTCCTAATTTTTAACAAAATCCACACCCGGGCTAACGTGTCAATTACAAAAGTAGGTTAAAGACCAACCCAAAATTCATCAACCCCACCCAATTAGATAAAGCGAGGTGAGTTTTTAATAAAATTTGCACCTGAACCAACTCATCGCTTACAAAACTGGGCAAAATTTGTCGCCAACCCAAAGTTCGTCAATACTTGATAAAACTCGCTACGACCGGTTTGATAAAGCAGGGTGAGTTTATAACAGAATTCACACTCGCCCAATTGTCATAAAGGATATAAGATCACAAAATTCACATCCGACCCATTTGTTAAATTCGTCACCCGACTCAATTTGGTTAAATTTCGTAGCCGATGACTCGATAAAGCAAGGCGAGTTTTTACCAAAATCCACACCCGACCCAATTTGTTAATTACAAAAGCGGGTAAGATCACAAAATTCACATCCGACCCATTTGTTAAATTCGGCACCCGACCCAATTTGGTTAAATTTCGTAGCCGACGACTCGATAAAGCAAGGCGAGTTTTGACAAAAATCCACATCCGACACAACAACAAAAAAACGGTAAAATGACTCTAACCATAAATGATAAGCGAAGGGCACCCCCAAAGTGTGAAAAACCATTTGCAAGGTGGAGACAAAAAAAAAGTTGTAAAACGATCGATAAGCGATGAAAGATAAAAAAAAGTTGTAAATTCGTAAATACCGAGTTCAACACACTGTATTGATTTAAGTTTGTAAAACTCGCTACAAAACTCGCTTGCCCGCGTTCAATCCACTTATTTAAGAGTGTAAAACTCGTTGTTGGAAAACTCTTTGTCGATCCGAAATTTGTAAAAACCGAGTTAAACCCGCTTTAAACTTGCCGAATTAGGTCGAATACCCATTGATTTTGGTTCAATTAGAATTCAATTGTAATAAGTTAATTGATTAGAACCTTAATAGCATCAAAGTAATTGATTAGAACCTTAATGGCATAAAAACTCTTACAAACTTTGGTTAATTACAAAATGATTACCTTTGTGAGTGACTATAAGTAATAGTAACTCTTATACTTGTTCTTTAATAAGAAGAATATGGCTGCCCACAACGAGCCTACAAACTGATCAAAAGCCCATAGGACTAAAACTCCCGTGTGGATAAGTGCTTCTCTTTGCATACCTCGGCCCAAGTGAAATCAGGTATGTGTGACCGCTTCAGTTTTGAGTTTTTGACCTTCTCATTCCCAAATTCCAATCCCAAGTAAAAAGTGGGGGAAAATTCGTCCGTCTTCTTCCCCGGCTGACTTTTCTTCTTCTCAGAGGATTAAACTCGTTCAACCCAGAAGAAATTTTGGGCCGCAAGCAACACTGCAACAGTAAATATCAAGTTCGCGAGAATCTTCAAATTCCCACGACGCGGATTTACGTCTATTTATACGCTGAGCTTAAGCAAGCTACCAATACAAACTTAATCCTTAGTTAAAGCACACAAAATGAACCTACTAAATTTGGCTTATCTCGCTCTAATCGCTGTCTTCTATCTGTTTCTCTGTCGTGGAACCGCCGGAGGATCCAGTAACAGCCGAAGTGCAGTTGGAATCGGCGCGATCCTCGATGTGGGTTCTCGCGTTGGTAGAGAAGAGAAAACCGCCATTGAAATAGCTCTCCACAATTTCAACACCAAGTCCTCGAATACCCGCCACAATTTCTCTGTTTACTTCCGGGATCCTCAGAGCGACCCTCTCAAAGCTGCTTACGCCGGTAAATGTCTATCACATCTTGTAATTAGCTTTTTTAATATCGGTAATTACGCTAATTATTAGCAATTTTGTACAGCTGAAGGGTTGATTAAAACACAGAAGGTGGAGGCAATTGTTGGGATGCACACATGGGCCGAATCGGCGATGGTTGGCGAAGTCGGAAGCCGGGCTCAAATTCCGTTGCTTTCACTCTCTCCGTCGTCAATTTCGGCGCCGCTAAAGCAATTGCGCTGGCCGTTTTTGATTAATTTGGCGGGCAGTAACGGCTCTGAAGAGATTCAGTGCATCGCAGCTCTGGTTCGCTTCTATAGTTGGAAAAGGGTTGTAGTGATTTACGAAGACGATGCGTATGGTGGGAATTCCGGGAAACTTGATTTGTTAGCCGAAGCGCTGCAAAAATCTGATTCGGAGATTGAGCACCGATTAATTTTCCCACCTTATAACTCTTTAGTCAACGGATCGAAAGAACTGGTACGGGATGAACTAATAGGACTATTCAGGAAACAGAGTCGGGTCTTCATAGTTCTCCAAGCTTCTCTTCCCATGGCAATTGACATTTTCAGGGAAGCTAAGAGCGTGGGACTTTCGGGAAGAGATTCAGCTTGGATTGTCACGGAAGGGATAACAAGCCTTCTGGACTCCGTTGAAGACTCTGTTATTTCCTCCATGGAAGGAACTCTAGGAATCAAGAGAGATTTCCCTAATCACGGTGGTGATTATGAAAATTTCAAATCCCAATTTAGGGGGAAATTCAGGTCAGAATATCCAGAGGAAGACAATTTGGTTCCTGGTATTCACGCTTTGAGAGCTTACGATGGGATCAGGGCCATAGCAGAGGCGGCGGAGAAAAGAAAAACAGGGGAAAAAATTATGCTGTCAGGGAATTTCACCGGGCTGAGCGGCGAAATATGCCTCACCGCCGGCGGGGAGCCTTGTCCGGTCCCCTTGTTGAGGGTTGTTAACGTCGTGGGCAGAAGTTACAGAGAGCTGGATTTCTGGCTGCCGGGTTTCGGGTTTTCCAAGACCCGGAATGTTCACGTCACAGAGGAGGAAAGCGGGTTGTCGGGTACGGTGATGTGGCCGGGGGATTTAGTTGATCGGCCCCCTACGGGCTGGGCAATGCCCACCGATTCGAAGCCGTTGAGGATTGTGATCCCCAAGAGAACGTCGTTCGAGAAGTTCGCGTCGTGGCCGGACGGGAAGAAAAGGCCCGAAGGCTACTGCATCTCACTGTTCGATAAAGTGCTCCGGCAGCTGAACTACGCGCTGCCGCACGAGTACTTCTGCTACGACGGGCCCTACGACGACTTGATTCAGGGCGTTTACAATCAGGTAAAACTCATAACTGTCCCATCCATTCCATTACTAGTTGAATTTCCACTATCATATATGACTAGACTAGTGTGATTTTTATGTTAGACATATGATGCAGCAGTTGGAGATATAACGATCTTGGCCGATCGATACAAATACGTGGACTTTACGCAGCCGTTTACAGAGTCTGGATTGTCGACGATCGTGCCATCGTCACCCGACGACTCTGCGTGGATGTTCACCAAGCCTTTCGATTTCAAGATGTGGACGATGTGCCTTGCCCTTCTCGCCTATACCATAGTGGTGGTTTGGTTCATGGAGCACAACTCCAACCCTGAATTCCAAGGCCCATGGAATGCTCAACTAGGCACGGCTCTTTGGTTCATCTTCTGCTCTCTCTTCTTCGTTCAGAGTAAGCCGTCATGATACCAATCAAATGTTCCCAACATTGTTTTATACGAGGAATGGCGATTGACGCTCTGATTTTTTGGGCTTTCTTTTCAGAGGAGAAGATCAACAACAACATTACAAGAGTGGCGGTGGTGGTGTGGTTCTGCGTGGTGTTCATCCTGACGCAGAGCTACACCGCAAGCTTGACCTCGATGCTCACCGTCAAGAGGCTGGGCCCCGATTTCGAGATCCTGAAGCAGAACAAGCTCTACGTCGGCTGCGATAACGATTCCTTCGTCAAGAACTACCTCGAGACGGTGCTCGACTTCCAGCCTGACAGAATCCGGATCTTCGACAACGAGTCGCAGTACACAACGGCGTTCGAGACCAAGGAGATCGCCGCCGCGTTCCTCGAAATCCCCTACGAGAAGATCTTCATCAACAAGCACTGCGGCGAGTACACCACCACCAGAGCAAGCAACCGATTTGGCGGATTCGGATTCGTAAGCTTTTTAAATTTGTTTTGGATCAATTATATTCTTTGCCGGCAACTGTTCATGTGGGAGTCCTAATTTTGATTTCGTTGTTCGCAGGCGTTCCAGAAGGGTTCCCCGATCGCGAGGGATTTCTCAGAGGCAATTCTGAGTTTGTCGGAGGACGGAACGTTGAGGAAATTGGAAGAGGAGTGGTTCGGTCCGGTAACGGAGTGTCCGACGAGCGACAAGTTGACGCTTCACAGCTTTGTGGGTCTGTTCAGCATATCAGCTGGAACGTCCACCATGTGTTTGATAATATTCCTGATCCGGCTGAAGCGGCATGGAGGGAAGATGGCGCGTGTTCATGACGTGGATGAAGAGGAGACTGGGAGTTTGGCGGGGGAAGATATGGGTTCCGGGTCGGGGAAACCCGGTGGTCCGACTCCGAGTCGGGCTGTGACGTTCCCGGCGGAACACGGTTTAAGCCATCAATGGTGGAGGTCGACGAGCTGCAGGTGGCGATCTGTGGGTTCAAGTGACCCAGTCGAGGAAGCATCTCCGGCGGTGATAGAAATGCCTAAGTTTTAGACTTTTGGGAATCAGATCGGTGAAAGAAAGACGGATGGAAGTTGCTAGTTTCTCAGAGAAGGGCAACGGCTTGTGCTACTCTGCTAGTAAGGTTCTAGGAAAGCATTGTTAGAGATTTTTTGCTTGTAAATATATACTAGCTTTTCATCCTGCTCGTTGGTTAGATTACTTGACAAAAAAATAAATTATCATTCACCATAAACAATTTCAAATTTATATCATCACTAAAATATCTAATAAATCATTCAAACCGTCTCACAAAAAATCATCAAATTTTGAATTCAAAGTAAAAATTATAGTGTCAGTCGATAGTGAACAACGTAAAGTCGACAATAACTTTGAAAAATGAGAAGCAGAAACATGTATAAAGTTAATAATCATGGTTTAATGGTCTTAGTTTATATTAAAGTGTTTTTTTTATAATTTTGGTGGTTTAAAATAGTGAACCAGTAAACTAGTTAAACCGTGGTGGTTCATCCGTTTTTATGTTGAATCGTGAAAAACCGTTTAGTCCATCAATATACTGTCAAAGCAATAAACTGGACCACTATCGTAACTAATTTGGTGGTTCTGCTAGTCCAGCCATTGATCTTATTAGGTTCTTAAACAATGATATTAATACAGTAATAAAGCATTGATACATTATTGTATTTATAAAATTATTAAATATACTATCAATTTTAGACAAATATATACATCTAGATGAAAAAAATAAAAATTTTAATAGCCCATTCGAACAATTGATTATCAATTTTATACATAAAATTATATAAATTTACTTTGTATTTTAAATTTTATAAAAAATAAAAGTGCACGTTTTTCCCTCCCGCCTCAACCCCGAAAATTTTCCCAAATGGCATCCGAGTACTCCACCCCATGGTCTTACTGTTTCTTATCATCATCGCATTTTTTTCTAGCCATCAATTGTCAATATTCGTTATCTTACACCAAAAGGGTATAGTCTACAAAATTCCAAGATTCTAATACAAATAATCTGTGTGTCATTGAAAATAATCCCTAAGTCAATGGCCACATGAATTATCTAATTGACTCTTTCTCTTCCAATCTAGTCATGAGTTGTTAATTCGGCTAGTTCACATCACAAGTAAAGAGCCTGAATTCTACAGAGTCTTACTTGATCGTTGGTGATTGGCAAATAATTCATCTGCTAATTTGAGCCCTACAGAGATTATGTATTGTCATCAATTATTCTTTGTCGTAAATTTTTCTATGTCTTTCGGTCACATTTATTAATTAGCGAGTATTTTTTTAATTAATTCCTCCAAGTTTGTAAGAGCACTAACACATGTCCATCAAATTGTGTGGATTAAGAATTACTTTATATTAAAGAAGATGTAAATAATTTAATAGAAATGAAAAAAAATATTAAATCACATTGCTATTCACATTCAGATAAATAAGGCTCTACACATTCCTAACATCAATATAAAAGACACTCAATAAATGCACTAATTACTTGACTTTACCTACCTAATGAAAAAGAAAATTTTTATAGCGAAGGTTATACCGAATAGCCCAAGATTGTGAAACCATAGCGGAGGTTATACCAAATTTTTTGATGATAAGGTATTTCGTACTGAAACCGTAGTTTAACCATAGTTCAACTATTTTGTACCGCTAAAACCACCAACTGGTTTGGGTCGGGTATTCGATATTTTCCAATCCGGCCGGCGGTACAATAGTGTTTTTTAAATATTGTTGATAACACAAATAATAAGTATACTTCTTGTTAGACCCGATAAGTAAAAGCCTGAATCGACCAGTAATCCAATAAACCAGGCCATGCAAAAAATTCCAATTGCTCACTCCTGGCCCCACCACTTAAATAAGGCCCAACATACACCTAGATCTGGGAAGTACACGCTCAACAATAATATCAATGAGATTGTTGTTCATATTGGAGAAAAGAAACTACTAAATTGTAGGGCCACATGACAGTATGGTTCGTTAGACTGATGCTCGGATATATTAAGTAATAACGAAGATTAGGACCACTTTAAAAGAACAAACAAAGTGTCATAAATATACATGCATCTGAATCATTATTAAATGCACTCAGAGCTCCCGAGAATGACCCGATGTGCCAAGACATAACATTAATGATATTTAACCTAATCTGCCAATATAAATAATAGTAACGTCTTTAGAGAGGACATACATTAATATCCCCAAACAATCAACCTAAGATCGTTCTATATCTAAGCCCGACTAGCCTCATACGCATGGGCAAATATTTCTCTCTTCAAATTTTTGTGGTATCTTTCTTGGTACTTTCCCTTTCTAATTGTCACAATCAATTACCAAACAATAACTCATTCGCCTACTTTCCCTCAATCCAAACCATCCAAGATTGAGATTGACTGCGGTGGCTTGTAACCCTCAGCAAACCGTCGAGCCAGTCACACCAAGTTGAGGTGCACACTACTTCATCTCCCACGTTTTATCTGAATCGACATGTCACACCACATGTAGGTCACAACAAATTAGTACAAAATTATTATTTATTATTTTTTCTATTTTATTTTAACTTCCCTTCTCCTTCTCCTTCTTCTGTCAACCAAAGACCTCCATATATTTGTCATCCTTCATTGTCACCATCGTCGTCGCTAAAATCAAAATCCACAAAAATTCTTAAATCCAACAACCATTTTGTTATTTATCTATTCTTGTTTGCTCGACAAATATGTCACCCTATCTTCTCAATCAACACCCACCCAATCTTTCAATCAACACGTTTTTTTCCAAACAATCAACCAATCACTGGAAATCTTCTTTTAAAATTAGTCAAAATTCACCCAATTAAACTAACATCGAAGCTTTTCTTTTGTTCCCCCTATTGAGATGGTGTATAGAGATTTCAAACCTTGCCTAGGATTTGGAATTTGGATTCAGTCAGTTCACTACTACTTCCTCGTTATCGCCTTCCATCAATTAGCTCGAACCTCAGCTAAGATTCCTTATATAATCTTGTCAAAAATAACACGGGGTGCAAACCTCAATTTCTAGTAGCATATGACTTTGTTCTAATGATGTATTGTAATGTCAAAATGAAGAAATTGAATCCCGGTGAAGGGATAAGATAATTTCAGAATATTTGGGTTGAAGGGTCGTTCATGAATCATTTAATAAGATGTTAATATGTATTGAAGGGTGCTCATGCAACTTGCTTCATGTTTTGGATTGTGTCGGCGTCAATTCAGACACCATTTGTAGCAGGCTATTTTCTATTCATCCTTACCCGACCGACCGTGCTTTTTTCACGTGTTTTATTGAACTCCAATGTGATGTTAGTGAGAGCCGACATATAAGTGGATTTTGATCAATGATGAGAGATGGAGAAGAAGTAAAAAACAAAAGTAAAATGATATGAGCCCAAATGGCCAACTCTACACGTTTAAATTAGTTGGCGAAGAAGCTATCGAAGTTGGGAAGAAGAAGGGCAGAATTTGGTTAAGTGTTGAAACAGTGTCAGGTAGCCTACTTTGGAGGCTTGGTTCTCTCAATTGGCTCAATGAAAATTCAAGTTTGATAGCTTCTTTTTAAGATAAGACGTTTATCTACACGATGGTATGCTTGGTAGCACAAGAAGAGGTCCTGAAAGTCATTTTCTAGACGTCCAAAGATGCTATCTGGAAAGCTGTAAACTGTCTGTAAATAGGCAAGTCTGGAAACTGTTTTGTGAAGCCTACTTTGGAGCTCAATTCGAGGAGCATGGATCTGATTCAAGTCCAAAGGCTTCCACAACATGAAAATAGGTATGTTTGTCTACCAAGGGAAGAAATTGGATGAAAGATTGGAGATCTACAAGTCCTTGAACGAATGGCGCGAAGTTAGTGCAAAAGCTCTTTTTGGACTATTTGCTGGCAGCTGACTTCTGCTTCAAGAAAGTGAGCTTGAGTCCGAATTTTGTGTCTTTTTTAGTTTAGAATTGTGCCTTATTTGTTTCCTTGTTCTATTAGGATTGTATTAGGGTTTATTTAGCTATAAATAGGCTTCTATGTTCGTTGTAAAAACTTAGACTTTGATGAATTGAAATTGAACCTTTGGGTTTTTGCAAGTTGGCGTACTTGTGTTGAGTTTGGTGGATTCCAAACTCGTAAGCTCTTGTATCGATGAATAATCACTTCAATCCTTTTGGTTTGGAATTCCACTTTTGTTCGGGCATCTATCCTTATACCAATCAAGCCTTTCCACAGGTGTGGAATTCCACTTTTGGTTTCGTTTTATCCAAGTTCTTGATTCGAGCTCAATCAATCCTTTAATTGAGTCGTTAGCTGCGTGACTTTGATAAAAAAACACCCCCTAGATCATTATCATAAAAAGATATTGGAATGAGATGTCATATGACCATTCATTTGCCCATCTTAATTTTCCTTTCTTTCTTAAGAAATACTAGTCGTCGTAGGTCACGCTTCGCTGTGGGGTTTTTTTTGCCATTCAACCGATCTCAAACGAGATGGAGATAAGATCCACACACCGTCAATTATAAACTACGTAACCAGGACACATAGTCGAACCTCGATAGGACCCGAGGCGACAAACTCAGGGATTTTGTGGCCACTAAATGAGCCTTCCTGTTCCTCTGACGACCTAAGAAACGCATATCACAATTCCCTCCAAAACCAGCCAACAAGGCTTTGATCTCACGCAAAATTGCGCCAACCTTAGAATCATTGAAATCCCCTGCCAAACACTTATCCAAGATAATCTTTGCGTCGCCCGTAATTAGAAGCGATGTAAGGTGTCTGGTACTGCATTCCTTGAGAAAATTCCGAAGTGCAAGGGTCTCCAATACATGTGCATCTTTGATCCTTGCATAAATGGTTGCTGCAGCTGCAATTGGAAACATCATCTCTGCATCAGACGAACCGTCCCCAATCACAAATGCTGTTGCACCTGCATCCCCCTCCCCGTAGAGCCGTCGAAAGAAGCATGTAAATGATGGTCCCCGTGCGGAATCGCTGATTCCGAAGGAACAAATGATCGAAGCATGATGGCCGGGGAAAGAGATGTGGACAAGAAGGTAGACTCAATTTCATTCACCTGATGACGCCACTCCGCCGCCCTTGACTCCAAGCAGACATGTAGCTGATCAAAAAGAACCATACACCTGTTCTTCCAAATACGCCAAAACATGGCTATAACTTGCAGGTTAAAATAAGAATTACTCACCTCCCCGCTCTTTTGAAAAAGCTCCCCCCGAACCATACCTGCAAATGAACGCTTATCCCAACCTGCAAGTTCTGAACAAAAACCGACCAAGTTCCACAATTTCGGGCAAAAGAACAATTAAAAAAACAGATGTTCCAACGATTCCACCTTCCGACCACAAATCGGACAAATCGGGATTATATCAAGACCCCGGAGAGATAAGGCCTCCCTAGTTGGCAATATCCGATTAAGACATTGCCAAACAAATAATTTAAGCTTGGGTGACAATTTCAAATTCCACAACCAAAGTCACATATCATGATCCACTTGATTAACACGAGGCCGACCAACCCTAAAACAATATCGTTGAAAAGCAAGATGATAAGTTCACCATACCTGGAAAACACCCGATGGCTCAAAATGCCAGATCAACTTATCCGGGATTTGGATTTGCGGCAGAGGAATTGAAGAGATGAGCTTGACTGTATCAGAACTGAAGAACAAACGCAATGCAGCCATATTCCAAGTGCGAGATCCCTGATCAATTAGCGTCGAGACAAACGGGGAAAAAGCAGGGGCACCAGGTCTACGAGTAGGAATAGACGGCGAAGACGTGGGTAACCAAACATCTTTAAACACCCGTATAGAAAATCCAGTACCCACCTGCCAACGCAACCCTTGAGAAAGTAAATCTCGACCATAGAGGATACTTCGCCAGCCCCACGACGGATTAGAGCCACACGAGGCATCCAGCTGACTATGATGACCAACAAAATAACGCCCTTTAAGAATACGAGCCAAAAGTGAGGCCGGCTCAGTGAGGATACGCTACACAACTTTAGCCAATAACGCCTGATTGAAGCACCCAAAATCACGGAATCACAATCCACCTTCATGTTTACTGCCACAAAGAGTTTTCCATGCTATCCAATGGACCTGACGTTGTCCTTGAACTGCTCCCCACCAGAAACGAGCCATATGGGCATTCATGCGTCGAATGAGATCTGTAGGTAACCAAAAGCAAGACATAGTGTATATAGGAAGAGCCGCAACCACAAATTTAAGTAACACTTCCCTTGTAGCAATAGACAAAGTCCTTATTTAAGTAACGCTTTGCTGCGGTTAAACTTTAAGTTGTGTAATAATGGGTAGATAAATTACAATTCAACCTTAAGGGCTAAAGGCCCATACCATCAATAAAACCATCTATTATCATCATCATTGCGTCCATCCACCTCCCTGCCTACCGAGCCTGAATCATGACCTCTTTCCTTGTTCCAATCAACATTCCTACCCAAATCTTGTTAATTTTCGACCCTGTCCTGGATTCGATCACTGTCCATGAAACCATCCCAAAAGCGATCATCATCATGCTCCTGCTTTAATTAGTTTGTTTTTCCGAAGTCAGCTGGAATTCTTTCATGTCAATCGTTGCTTCTGTCTTCCTGCTCAACTGGAATCCTTGCTGCAAATCATCAATACATTCAATTCCTTAATTGATTCATCGAATTGAAGAAAGTGCCACGAGGGGTTTGATTTTTAAAGAACACTGAGACAGAGCATGCAAAAATAGGCAGTTTTGGAAGGAAGAGGGGGATATAATGAGCCGTTTACCTTTTTGGGTTTATTCTTCTCGCCACTTGTAACAACCCAAGCCACCTGGATGCCAGCTGTCACCAATATAAATAGAGAGAGCTTACCTGTCATTTACCATCTTTGACCAATCAAGCAGACAGTAACTACTTTACCAAATTCTTAGATAGAGATAGCTGTAATAGCACGCCTCTCTTCCTTCTCTGTAATTCCTTCTTCTTCCTCCTCAATTAACTCCATTTTGCTAGATTACTCTATCACGGACCTTACAAGTGGTATCAGACGCCTTCCATCTGGCAATGGCGCCGAACACTTCACGTATCGTTGACTTGGAGAATAAAATGGACGCGGTGCAGCAGAAGATGGATTTGCAACATCAAGATCTGAAATCCTCCATTGTCGAGCTTGCTGCGTCCACAAAGGACAACATCCACGCGCTCATAGCTTTTTTGACGCGGTTTCGCGAAAAGTCGCCGCTTCATTCTTTTTCGGCCGACTCTCAAGCGAACTTCGCCGAGCCTCCGCCTTTCCGTTCTCAATCGCGCCGGGAGACGCTTCTGGATCATTACCCCCGTTTGGAGTTTTCTTATTTCTCTGGTTCAGATCCCCACGTTTGGGTGACCAAGTCTGCTAAGTTTTTCCACCTGTATTCAATTCCCAAAGATCAGAAGGTGGAGCTGGTTTCGTACTACTTGGAAGGCCGGGCTCACACGTGGTTTGAAGGCTGGTCATTTCGTCACTTTCCATTGATTTGGGGGCAATTCGTCGAGGAATTGCTTCATCGATTTGGGAATCAAGAACAACTAAACGTCGTTGCTGCTTTCAATAAGTTGCGGCAAACGACGACTGTGTTTCACTATCAGGAGGAGTTTGAGGATCTCCGCTCCACGATGTTGCGCTTGAATCCCGATCTCAACGAGAGTTACTTCATCATGAGTTTTTTGGGGGGGGCTTGAGGATGAAATTCAGCCCCGCGTTCAGGTTCTCAATCCTCCAACATTGGCGTGTGCGTTCTATCAAGCTCGTTTAGAGGAATCTGCAATTGAGGCTAGAAAGAAAAAATATCGTTCTATTTCTTCCAATCGTTGGGCTGCTTCTTCATCATCTTCTCCTTCAACTTCGGCTAGTAGACCTTATCCGCGGGATTCTCCGCCTTTGTCGCACTTTTCTTAGGAATGGAGCTCCGTTCCGCACGGCCAAGGTCTCTATAACAAGTGTAGTGACAAATATTTCCATGGCCATGTCTGCTTTAAGAAGAAGCAGTTGCATTCACTCCAAGCTGAGATTCCTTCTCCTCAGGATGCTGACGACGACTTGGAGGAAGACTATCAGGATGCAACTCGTTGCTTATTTCAGCCACCACGGGATGTCGAGAGGTAACAGTCTTGATCGACACTGGTAGTTCCCACACTTTTCTGAACTCTCTTAAGACTGCAGAACTAGATTGTCAAACGGAAGATATTGCTCCTATGCGAGTGAAGGTAGCGAGTGGGCGTACCCTGTTGAGTAATGCTGTGTGCAGGGGGTTCAACTGGAAGATGCAGGGGAAGGAATTGGCATTTGATGTTCGTACTTTGGAGTTACCAGCCCATGATCTAGTGCTAGGATGGGATTGGTTAGAGACCATTAGCCCTTTTCAGGTGGATTTGAAGAAGCGTCAGCTGTCTTTCGATTGGAAGGGGAGAGTTTTGACCTTGCAAGGCCTTACCAAAGATGGCCAGTGCAAGGCTATGACTGGAAGATTTTTTCAACAGCTTCTCCGAAATCAAGGCTCTCACCTTACTGGGGTTGTCTTTTCCATTGAAGGCCTTTCTATACCTCCTTCCCCTACCCCTGCCTTTCTTAAGCCTCTGCTTTCCCCCTATTCGGATGTTTTTTCTACTCCAACTTCTCTTCCACCCAAGAGATCTTTTGATCATTCTATTCCCTTGCTGCCCAATACTAAACCAATCAATATCCGCCCTTTTCATTTTCCTCATCATCATAAGGCTGTGGCCGAGAAGTTAGTGGTAGAGATGTTAAAATCCGAATTCATACAAGAGAGTCATAGTCCCTATGCTTCCCCTGTTCTTCTTATATGGAAGAAAGATGGTACATGGCGGTTCTGCATTGATTATACGGAATTGAACTCAACCACCATCAAGGACAAGTTTCCAATCCCCCACATCGAAGATTTATTGGACGAATTACATGGGGTTGGAATTTCTCAAAGCTGGACCTCAGGGCAGGGTACCATAAGATTCGAATGAAGCCTGAAGACCGATTCAAGACCTCTTTTCGCACCCAGCAGGGACATTATGAATTCCGTGTCATGCCTTTTGGCTTGACAAACGCTCCTACAACCTTCCAAGCCCTTATGAACCATGTGTTTGCCAAGTATTTGAGGAAATTTATACTGGTTTTTTTACAACATTCTAGTCTATAGCAAGACAGCTGATGATCACTACCACCACCTCTCTACTGCTCTGAATCTGCTGCGGGAGAATAACTTGTTTGCGAAGGAATCCAAGTGCTCCTTTGGTCAGCCTAATGTCGAGTACTTAGGCCATATAATTGATAAATATGGGGTCTCTATAGATAAGGGTAAGATGGCTGCCATGTCTGATTGGCCTCGTCTAACGTCAGTGAAGGGATTGCGAGGGTTTTTGGGTTTAACAGGGTATTATAGGAAGTTTATCAAGAATTATGGAATCATTAGTCGCCCTCTGACATTGTTACTTACCAAGAATGGGTTTCATTGGACAGCAGCTGCGGAGGATGCTTTTGCTGCATTAAAACAGGCCATGGTCACTGCTCCAGTCCTTTCCCTTCCTGATTTTGTCTCACCTTTCACATTGAAGACTGATGCATGTGGTACAGGTGTGGGAGATGTTCTCTCCCAAGGCGGGCGACCCCTCGCTTATTTTAGCAATGCATTAGGACTTCACAATCAGGGGTTGAGCACATATGAAAAGGAATATCTTGCGGTTTTGTTGGCTGTGGAGCATTGGAGACACTACCTCGAAGGGCGACAGTTTACTATCTTAACTGATTATGAGAGCTTGAAAATTTTGCTTGGCCAAAAGGTGCATACAGCCATACAAAAGAAGGGTTTAGTGAAGTTAATGGGTTTGGATTTCTGATAACGATGTAATTGCACATGTTTGCACCCCTAGTTCTTATCCGTTTGCAGGGCGTAGTAGTGTATTTTTGGCCTATTTTACGCTGGGTTGTGCTATTTTGTCATATCTTAGGTCCCAGACGTCGAAGGAAAGGCTAAGCACGAGTTTCGGGGCATTTGGAAGTCATTCGGTCGAGCTGGGGCCAAAGCACGGGCAGGAGGCCATAAGAGCACGACCGTGTACACCAAAGAGCACGCCAGTGTTTTTATTGTCGAGAGCCGAATTGATGAGGAGGAAAAACACGGGCTGGACTAAACAAAAACACGGCCGTGTTCCTGGACCATGTTATTTATGCTGAGGCTTGATCCAAGGTGTTCCTGCGATATCTTAAAACACGGGCGGGAGTGACAGAAAACACGGCCGTGTCCATCTATAGGCACGACCGTGTTTTTGCCAAATGTGGGCGTGTTTTTAACACGCGGCAAGGGCACGGACGGGCAAAAGTAAAACACGGGCGTGCCCTCGACCTTGTTTTGCCCTGAGTCAACCTTTTTAGGCAGATTTGAGCCAAAAGAGAGGGGTTTTGAGTTTTAGAGAGAAAAAGTGCGACCTAGAGAGAGAAAGTGACGAACTTGACTCTGCAAGTGCCATAGATCGATCTCCATCACCATTGGAGTCGAGATTGAGCTTGGAAAAGACCTAATTGAGTGCTAGAAGCAGATTCCCATCCTTCGTAGTATGGTTTCCGCATTTGAGCTAGATTTCCCATCTCTCTCTATGGAGTAGTTTTCTTATTCACCTGGGTATAAAGAACCCTAGATTTGAATGTTAGGTCCGATTGTATGAACCCAAGTAAAGATTCATTGATATGATTATGTTCAATTGAGGTTTGATTTGTTGAATGGCATGAATCCTGATCAAATTCCTGTTGTTTCTGCTTTAACCTAGAAAGAGAATATCTGCCTAGGTTGATAGAGCACCCTTGATTGAAGGTAGTGAATTGGCGACTTTAGTCGAGGAGTCAATTCACGATTCTGTACCGAATTTGCTTCGGTAGTGGAGGTTTGGGTCGTTAGGGCCTCAATCTGTTTACTCCGGTGGAGGTTAGTCGCCCGCTGGGGACTCAGATTGAGAGGGTTAGGTGACCTTTAGTCGAGACTTCAGACTGTTTAAGAACCTCCCGCAGTATATCATTGAAATTGAACTTGGTAAATTACAATCCGGCTTAATTGCAGTCTAGGGGGAACCATATCCGGGTGACCTCTCTCGACTTGAAAACAACCGCTTAATTGCTTGCTTGTTTGAATCTGCATTAAAGTTTCACTGATAAATAATAAGAACTCACGGAGTAGTCATCACATCTAGGACCCGGGTGGACATTAAAACTCAAACCCGCTATACTACGCTTTAGGAAGGGGTTACACTTGCCCATTTTCGAGAGTCACGGTAGGAGCGAGTCAAGTTTTTGGCGCCGTTGCCGGGGACGGTAGGTTTTTGAAGAAACGTGAATTCTGCTAATTTAGCTTTTCGTTTTAGCATTGTCTGCTTGTCACACTTGTGCCTTCATGGGTTTGCTTGCTTGACTGTGTGCAGGTAGTGCATGACCCGTAGCCAGTTGATAACGATGTAATTGCACATATTTGCGCCCCTAGTTCTTATCCGTTTGAGGGGCATAGTCGTGTATTGTGGCCTATTTTACGCCGGGTTGTGCTATTTTGTCATGTTTCAGGTCCCAGGTGTCAAAGGGAAGGCTAAGCGCGAGTTTCGGGGCATTCGGAAGTCATTTCGGTGAGCTGGAGCCAAAACACGGGCACACCTAAATCATTACACGGCCGTGTTCTGGTGGCCGTGTTTTTTATGCTGAGAGCTGAGCTGATTACACGGGCAGGGCCAAAACAAAACACGGGCGTGTTCTGCCAAAGCACGGGCGTGTTCCACCAAAGCACGGCCGTGTTTCTCCCAATGCACTGGCCGTGTAATTAACACTAGCCAAAGCACGGGCGGGCTGAGGCATTACACGGCCGTGTCCTCGACCGTGCTTTGGCTGATGCCTTTTTAAGCAGATTTTCAGCCAAACAGAAGGGGATTCGAGTTTTAGAGAGAGAGATCAGTTCCTAGAGAGAGAAAGTGACGAGCAAGAGTTCCCAAGTGCCCTAGATTGATCTTCAACACCATTGGAGGCCAGTTTGAGCTTGGAGAAGTGCCAATCAACGTCCAGAAGCAGGAATCCATCCTTCGCAGTATGAATTCCGTGTCTGATTCTGCTTTTGCTTTCTTCTTTATGGAGTAGTTCTCCCATTCATCTGGGTATGGAGAACCCTAGATTTGTATGTTAGGCTTTGATTGTATGAACCCAAGTACTGATTCTGTGATTGATTATATTCGATTGAGGTTTTAATGATTGAATGACTTGAATCCTGATCAAATTCCTGTTGTTTCTGCTTTAACCTAGAATGAGAATATCTGCCTAGGTTAATAGAGTATCCTTGATTGAAGGTAGGGAGTTGGTGACTTTAGTCGAGGAGCCAACTCACTATTCTGTACCGGATTTACCCCAGTAGTGGAGGTTTTGTTCTTAGGGCCTCAATCTGTCTACTCCAGTGGAGGTTAGTCGCCCGCTAGAGATTCAGATTGAGAGGGTCTGAAGACCTTTAGTCGAGACTTCAGGCTGTTTGAGAACCTTCCGCAGTATAACCATCATAGAAACTGAACTTGGTAATTACAATCCGGCTTAACTGCAGTCTAGGGGGAACCATATCCGGGTGACCTCTTTAACCTGAATACAACCAGTTTACTTGCTTTGTTAGTTTGTTAGTTAGACTTGCATTCCAGTTTCATTGCTAGATAACAAGAAT